GCCTGTTGCCAAGCACCCAGTTCACAATCACATGGAATCATGGAGTCCTAGGGCTAGAAGGGACCCTGGAGGTCTTTTTGTCTAACCCTGTGCTCAAGCAAGAGATCCAATACCAAGGATGGGCAACTATGGCTCCTTTACGACCTGTGGACTTCATTCCCAGAATTCCTGAGCCAACTCTGGGAGTTGAAGTCCACAGGTTGTAAAGGGACCATAGTTGCCCATCTCTGCCCTATACCATTCCGGACAAATGGTTGTCCAATCTCTTCTTGAAAACTTCCAGTGATGGAACACCCACAATTTCCAGAGGTAAACTATTCCACCGATTGTTAATTAATTGTTAGTTAATTGTTCTCAATTCTAAGTTGGGTCTCTTTTTCATAATCATCTATCCATTACTTCTTATCCTGCCTTCAAGTACTATCCCATCCCTGTGGTGGCTTCAAGTATTAGAAACATACCAAGTTTCCTTAGCTGCTCATCATGCCATTTAACATCCAGATCCCTTAACTTTGTTGTGCTTCTCTGCACTCTTTCTGGGGCCTCAGCACCTCACCACATGACAGGGATGCTGTGATGGCCAGAACTTTGAAGACCAGTTCTAAGTCCCCTTAGTTCACCATGATCATAACAGTTGCTGAATGAGTGGTTGCACTTCAAGGACCCTTGACTGGAGGCTAAAACATATGAAGAACAGTTACAGGAATTGGGTATGGAAAAAAAAGAACTAGGGCAGGCATGATGGCAGTGTTCTAATATTTGAGTGGCTTCTACAAAGACGAGAGGGTCAAACTATTTTCCAGACAACCAAAAGGCAAGATGAGAAACAATGGTTGGAAACTAACCAAGGAGAGAAGCAACCTAGAAGCAAGGAGAAATTTCCTAATGGTGAGAGCAATCAACCCATGGAACAACTTGCCAATGGAACAACGTGCTCCATCATTGGTGGCTTTCAAAAAGAGACAGGACAATCATTTATCTGAAATGATATAGGGCCTCCTGCCTGAGCAGGGGGTTGGACTAGAAGACCTCCAAAGCCCCTTCCATTATTCTATGTTTTACGTTCCCCCTTTCTTTGAAAATACTGTATCGGATGCTAGAAAGGCTGCAGAAAGCTAAAAAATACAATAGAGAGATCTGGCCACCTTGGTAAAGACATCTTACAACTAAATCACTGAAATTCATTCTCCTTTGGGGAAAAGAAATCAAATTCATTTTCATCAAATTGAATGGAAACGGATAGGAATAAAATGCAGGATATTTACTCATAATGCTAATTCAGTTCCTAAACAAAACATGACAGGATTTTTGTTTGAAAATTACTCAGTAATTTCCAATTTAGTTCCCAACCTACACTCTCCCAGTCAGTCCCCATATGTTCAGAACAAGCACACACACACAATTCAGATCAGCCAGCAAATACATAGCTCCGTTTATTTCTTACACATTAGCCTTCATTTATTCCAGCCTTAACCCTTTTATTTCCACAACAGCAATAGAATAAGGTGGAAAGTAGGATACCAGGAGATCCCTCCTCTTGTGTATCATGAAGGAAACAATTTGGTGATAGTGATAATACTATATATCCAATAGTTTCTCTTCTTCTTAATTCTAATAGAATAGAATAGAATTAGAATAGAATAGAATTATTTTATTGGCCAAGTGTGATTGGACACACAAGGAATTTGTCTTGGTGCAAATGCTCTCAGTGTACATAAAAGAAAAGATCCATTCATCAAGAGTCAAGAATCATAAGGTACAATACTTAATAATAATAATACTTAATAATTTCCCACAAAAGCAAAACTATTTATTTTAGGGCAGAAATTTACCATGGAGAGATAGTTCTCAATTTACAATCATGTGTTTATTGACTGTACAAGTTATGGCTGATCTGAAAAAGGGAACTTGCAGCCCAGTTTTGAAGTTCTGACAGTCATGCCTTCTATGGTCACATGATTGAACTTAGAGATATTTTCACATGGCACTTGTAATGGTTTTGCCGAAAACTGGCACTTATTTCTAGGCTTTGGCAAAACTGCATCGGTAGCAAACCATTGATTTGCTTGATGACCATGGCATTTTCTTAATGATTTTATGACAGCCATGTTCACTTAACAACTGCCGCAAAAAAAGGTCATAGTCAGGTCTACTCTCATGATTACTTACTTTACACCATCATGACTTACGACCATAATTGCCAGGCTGAATTACGATTGTAGGTCGAGGACCATGTTACTATAACTGGCATCATAGAGCTGATATTTCAACTCCCCTGCTTCTCTTTGCTACGTCTCTTCCAAGGTGCTATGTCTGTCCACGCCATCTTGCTTCTAATCAAGAAGATACCCACTGAGGATGACTCCTGTAGACCCCACAGGATGCCACTCTTGCGCCACTGTTTAATTTCCCATGCAAACTGAACCAGCAACCTAAAATCCCCAGATACTGCACTCACTGCACACCCAACATAACTCCTTGTCTGTCCTTTCATAAGGAGAAGCTTCATTACAACTAGCAAGTCAACACACTCAGTGATTTCCTCAAGGCTGAAAAACATGTCTTAGGGCAACGATGCTTTCACGTCAGACTCCTGATGACCATCTGGATTAGCTCCTGCAGTTTTCTTGGCAAGGTTTTTTTCTGAAATTGTTAGGTGTTGTGACTGGAAGGTTTGAGCCTGCTGTGAACTTTGAGTCTGATGTATCAGAAGACACAGGGTCGAGTGATGAGGAAGGTTTGGCATTGGAATTGGAGCCTGCTCTAATGAGAGATGCAGACGTGAGCCAGGAGGATGAGGGAGTGTCGGAAACACACTCCTCTCCAGAACCTTCCACTTCAATCATGCCTCAGGTGTCAGCAGCTGATCCACAGAACATACCAGAGTCCTTGAGTGATGACGAATGTTGGGTTGATGCAAGGACTAGATGCAGGTTGAGACGTCAAGCACAATTTGAAAAGAAACATCAAGTCAGAGACTAATTAGAGAGATTGACAGGCCCCTTCAAGGAATATAAGGAAGCGTGATAGTTAACGATCCTTGTCTGGAGCAAACTTTGTTAGGAGCAAACTTTGTTAATTACTGCGCAGCTTTGAAGAAGCCCTCTGTTCCTGATTTATCTTGCGTTATCTCGGCTTGAAGACAGTTTCTGGGAAAGCTGCCAAGGACGATTACAGAGACAAGTTAACTCTGTGGTTTCTGGTATTATTTGTTCGTGTTTATTTCTTTGGGACATTTGGACTCTCACTTGTGGCTACAAGTGAGACAGAACAGTTAGGTATAGCTTTCTTCCTAGGGCTGGGAAGGGAAGGACTGGATCAAGGTCCAAGGTGGTTTTGTGTCTAAACCAGGACTAAAATTCATGATCTTTCCGGGCTGGTGCCTTCACCACTGCATCAAACTGACTAATTGCACCCCAAATTTGGCATAATTCCAAGGTTGTGAGCTCGGAAAGAGATAACCAGGATGCCATAACATTATAGAACATAACCTAGTTCTATTATTATTATTACGAGTAATCCTCGACTTATGAACACAATTGAGCCCAACATTTATATTGCTAATTGAGACATTTGTTAAGTGAGTTTTGCCCCTTTTTACAACCTTTCCTGACACATTTTTTTTAAGTAAATCACTGTGGTTCTTATGTTAGCAACATGATTCTAAAGTGAATCTGGCATGACTCCAGGACACTGCAACAGTCATACGAACCAGTGGACAAGCATCCAAAATTCTGATCACGTGACCTTAGAGATGCTGCAATGGTCATAAGCATGAAAAATGGCCATAAGTTCCTTTTGTCAGTGCCATTGTTAACTTTGAATGGTCACTAACGCAACTATTGTAAGTCGAGGATACCTGTATTACTACCACCATCATCATTCCTTATCTGCTCAACACCCAACATTCAGCTGTATTTCTCAAACTCAGCAACGTGTAGACTTCATCTCCTAGATTTCCCCAGCCAACTGGGATGGGCTTTTGATTCTGGGACTTGGTTGCTGAGGTGAAGAAATCCTGGCTTAGTCCTTCAAGGGTCTCAAGGCTTAGTAGCTTTTTCTCTGAATTTGTACTCACTTTCCCCCTCAAAACAACCTATGCGTGCTTTACCCAAGGAAGGAAAGATGAAAACGATAAAAAGGTGTGATTCAATAGTGAGAGAAGCTTTTGGAAACTTGCCCAATAAAAGTCAGTAGTCAGATTAACCCGCAAGTCACTGTCATCCCCCAATACATTAAGCCAGGGCTCTCCAACCTTGGCAAGTTTAAGCCTGGAGGACTTCAACTCCCAGAATTCCCCAGCCAGCAAAGCTGGCTGGGGAATTCTGGGAGTTGAAGTCCTCCAGGCTTAAACTTGCCAAGGTTGGAGACCCCTGCATTAAGCAATAAACCAGGTTCACAAACCACCTTGATCCAACCAGGACTGCATCAAGTGATTACAAAATACGTCCAGGTAAAGGCTCTGTTAACAACATTCGCACTGTTATTTTTGGCCAAAAATTTTGGGCTTCCCCTCCAAAATATTTCAATCTTCTAGGAGGGAGGGGCTTCCCACAAAGTATTTGATAAAACACAGAACGTGAACGATTAAATACTGTATATTAAAGAGAGTAGACGCCACTCGTCAGCACCTGATTGGCACATACTGGTGATTTTGGGATGAGCTTGTGTAAATGCGGGCAGAATAACACACACATTTATCTAGGCCGCTGGCGTATTTCTGTTCTGATGCAAACCAGAACAGAAATACGCCATACGAACGATTGGAAAGTTATGGGCTGCCCTACCTCACCCCGCCCCCACAACCACAATGAGAAACCTCTAACCGCCTCACTCGGCGGGGAAAAAGAGGTGCAAAAGAAACATCTTGCCCTTTTATAGCGTTCACCCTCGCGAAGCCCCGCCCACCACGGTGAGTGACAGTTGATCCGCCCACGTTCGTGCTCCCCTCGAGGGTCATCTCGTCCAATCAACTAGGACCGGGGGTGGAAGGGCGGAGAGAAAGAAGGAAGGGCGTTCCCGCGCGACAAGAAGGAAGATTTCATGGCGGCCAGTTACCCGTATGGACAGGTGAGGCGGCGTGCACGCGCGCGAAAGAGGCGTCGGGCTCACCCCGCCGCGCGGTGGTCGACGGGAGCCCCCCGTAACCGAAGCGAGATCGAGTGGGCTCTGGATTGAAGGGGGCTGGAAGTTGCCTAGGCAACCAGAAAGGGGTGGGGAGAGCCGAGAGGATGGCACCGGCAGGAAAACGAATCCCGCTTCTCAGGGTGACGTCACGGCCAGGCCAATGGAGTACTGTAGTGATGTCATTGTGGGGGGGGGGAAATGGAGGTTGTTGGGGATGGAGGGGAAGGAAGGAAGCTCCCCAAAACGAGGTTAGGAAGTGTTTTCATTGGCTGGGGGAATTCTGGGAGTTGAAGTCCGCCCATCTTAACAACAGTTGCTGAGGGGGAGTGACACCCCCTTGGGGAGCCTGGTGAGTTAGTTAACGCTCAGGATGTTGTGCAAGCAGGGGAACGTAGGTGGTTATTTCGTCAAGAATGGGACACAGGTCGTCTGAGGACAGCCCTCAAATGGCTCTTCTGCCAGGGGACCAAACTTTCCTCCCCGTTCTGCATTGGCTCACAAGAAACACAACGAAGCAATTAGGAAACACTTACAAAATCAGACTTTTAAAAGGGATTAAAAACCAGGGATTCAGCCACCTGGAGGTCATCTGTCCCCCAAAGCAAGGTTGATGACAAATTTTCAAAGGGGTTCACTGCCAAGGGTTGCTAATGCAAAGTTGGGCAGCCATATAAATTGAACGGAATTGAAACAATAAATGCATAAAATACTTTGGCCGTCTGACTCCTGCAGGGGAGGGCACAGGCTGCCTTTAAGATTTAAGAGAAAAGTGGTGGTACTGACAGAGCTTTTCTTGCAGAGATGAGAGAAGTGCATTCATTAAAACCCTGTCTTTTACACACCTGTGCCTTAAGCCCTGCTCCTTGTAACCTGCATTTTGCAATGAATCCGAATGTTCAAAAATGGCCATCTACCTTGGCTGCACACATGACTAAGGCTCAGAATAATAGAAAAGTTGGAAGGGACCTTGGAGGTCTTCTAGTCCAACCCTATGCTCAAGATTCACACCTTCCATTAAGCCAAGATTGTGTGGCTTATTGCAATATGTGAATCCAGCCTTCTTTTTTTTTTTACCCCCTCCTGTATCTGTTCTGGTAATTTTGTCTTTCCTAATTAAATTCATTTCCAAGGATAACAACATGGATTCAGATGTCTCTCTTGATTACCTGGACCAAGTTATTAATTGAGTCATCCACTCTGCCAGGAAATTGACTTATCGGTGCATGACTGAAATCAGTCAGCAAGGTTTTCTGACATACTGCCACAAAGGTGGCAGGAGGCTTTATTTCTTTATTGCACCATGTGGGGAGAAAAAAAATCATAGGGATGCATTGGAGCCCAAAGCCATCTTTTTCATTTCACTCTGGTATTGGGATATTGCATTATTGAATATTGAGTTTTAAGACTTCATTATTGCCTTGTAATCAGGAAGGAAGAATCTTCCCTCCTGTTCCTCAATAATAATAAAAAAAACAGTTAACCGGTTGGTTTAGCCTTGGGGTTGATAAATTGCTAAGATAAACCTTCCTTCTCTGGGTCAGTTGTGTTGGGGTTTAATAACTGGTATTTTCACAACACATTAAACTCATGCTCTCTGTCCTAGTTTAGCATGTGTGAACAAGACCTCTTCTGGGAGAGGAAATGCTCTTTGTTGTTTAGTGAAGTTAAATTCATGGTGGTTCGGAATTGAAGCTCAATGCTAAGGAGATTTTATTTTAAATATACATCAGTGTACTCGACTTCAGAATAAAAGGTATCTTAGACTGTTTCCAAGACACTGTTACAAGAGTTACAAGGAGCAAAGTATTGCATAAAAATTAAAATTTTGAGGATTTGCCATTTTATATGCCTATTTCATTTCTTAAAAGACTATTAGCTATACACTAACAGCTAATCAATAAAATATTGGCAAAATTATCTCTATGGATCCATCTGGCTTTATCCCAAATCAAAATATATTTACCCCATCAGGAAATTATGAAATATTATACAATCTAATAAAATTAATGTCTTCTCTAGCCACTTGTTCTTTAGATATATTTAAAGCTTTTTGATTCTCTAAAAATAGAATTTTTAAAACAAATATTAATTAAAATCAAACTTGGAGTTGGTATTTGTAAGATAATATAAAATGTTTATGGGCTAACTGAAGCTCAGACAATCCATGTTGCTGTCAAAAGAGCATATTTTACTGATTTCTCAGGCTGGCAATCAGTTCAGAGATTGAATCTGATACCTTCAACAGGGGAAATGTCTTTTTTAATAGTTGCACTTGTATTTTTCTTCCCCTAAAAAATAATGTCTCTTTTCTTCTGGAGTAAGAAGAGTCGGACTTCATCAACAGCAAAAGTGGCGCTTCAGTTCTGTTTACCCTGATAACTTGATGAGGAGTTGCCAGGGGGGTCAGGCGAGATCACAGCAGCAGGATGCCATTGTGCAAATGATGTGACTCATGTAAGGGGTATATTTTCCACCATGACTACTTCTTTATTTATACTACCACCAGTTTCTACGAATGGCGTCCTAGCCATTCACAGCTTAGGGTATATACCTTTTGTAAGGCCGTAGGGTGGAACAAGGACCATTTCACCACCACGGAACTTACGAAGAAGGAAAAAGGACCATTTCACAACAAGGGAGTGAGAAACCTGGGCCCTGTGCTGATTCATTGTCTGCTTTTTTACAGTTCCTTCCTTCTCTCATTCCTTGACAGGGCTTCCCTGGGACTGCAGGACAGGCTCCAGGAGCTCCTCAAGGCAGCTATCCTGGTGGACAGTATGGAAGTGGACAGCCTTCTGGAGGAGCATATGGGAGCCCAGCACCTGGAGGCCCATATGGGCCACCGCCTAGTGGAGACCCATATGGATACTCTTCCTCTGGCTCTCCGGGAGGAATGTATGGGGGTGGCCCAGTCCCAGGAGGGTCGTATGGGCAGCCTGCCAATCCCTATGGTGCTCCCCAGCCTGGACCTTATGGAGCATCTTATGGTCCTGGAGGTGAGTGGTAGGAGTTCAGTTGTGTTTCAGTTCAGTTGTCAGCTATTCGTTGTTGAACCAGGGTATCCTGATTTTATCTGGATTTGCTCTACTGACCATCCTTTTTCTCCCCTATCAGTTGCAACATTGATCCCCCTTTTTTTTAGCAAGCAAACATTTCAAACCAAGTCTGTTATCAGGTTTCCTCTCTTAAGAACCGGTTGATCTTGACCCTCAAATTTGCATTTTTCCACTGCAGTGTTTTTGCCTCCCTTCTACAAAACCCGTGATTACTAGATCTGGAATTTCAGGTTATAGTGAGAAATGTGTGGTGTCGCTTGTTGGTTTGTTCTTACTTCAGAGCATTTCTTATCTATTTTCTGGTGCTGATCAAAAGCTGCAAATAAACCACAAACCTGCATTGGGGCAGGTTGTGAGCCAAGTAGCACTTTTTTCTGGGCTAGCGACATTTTGCAAGTGTTTTTGGAATACAGAAGTGCCTACATTTTGCAGATCTTTTGAAAGCCTTTGAGATGAAACCATCTCCCAAAGGAGGCAAACTTGTCTGTAGCTCCAGAGCTCCCTCGGCTACACAAGCCAGGTGTTAAGGAACAACCCAGGTGTCTGCGACATCTCTCACTTTATGGACTGGTTCCGCAGCTGCAGCAGTGGGTGCCTGTTTTGTATTTGCAGAATTGGAAAAACTGTCCGTAATTTGAATTATTCATCTTAATTTAAACCAGGGGTTCAGAAAGGCATTCCTATTGCATTATTTATTAAGGTTCCAAGGTGAGAACTGAAAAGAACCAAAGTTGCTTTCCTGAGGAAATGGACATAGAACTTTGCCACTTTGCAAAAGCCTCCTAAACACAACGGCGTTTGCATCCTGCTGAAGCGACACGCTTCTCCATGTTGGCATTGAGCATTACAGATCATTGGCAGAGACCTCATTTATTTTCTTTCTGTATTTACAAGATTTTGCATCCCACTGCCTAAGTGAACTTCCTTCCCTAGGGCTCACATTTAATATACTCACCCGGGCGTGTGTGTGTGTGTGTGAGGAGGCTGATTCAGCAAAGGTTTGAGTCTCGTCTTGTCCATTTGTCAGAAGCTTACTAGATGCTTCCTGTCAATGTTGGTGGGTACTTGGCATGCCCTGGTCAAAGGCCCTGCCTTTCTCTGTACATGTTCTTTATATCTCGTTCTTTCCCACACAGGCCATGTTCCCCCTGGTATGGACCCGGAAGCTTTCTCTTGGTTCCAGAGTGTAGATGCTGACCACAGTGGCTACATCACGACCAAGGAGCTCACGCAGGCCCTTGTCAACTCCAATTGGTCTGCTTTCAGCGATGATACTTGCTTGATGATGATGAGTAAGTTCAGGGTAAAAGAATTTATACTCAGTGTGGTGAAAAGCATGTGAGGACCCTGTAATACTGTAGGTCTGATTCCCCATCAGAGTCTCTAGAGCAGTGATCCCCAACCTTTTTTATGGCGCGGCCCGGTACCGGCATTAGCTGGGCGCCGCCATCTTTTTTTGATGAAAAAGTGCTTCCGGTGAGCTTTCTACCCGGAAAAGCTCACCGGAAGCACTTTTTCATCAAAAAAAGATGGCGGCGCCCAGCAAACCAGCGGCCCGGTAGGACTTGTTCCACGGACCGGGACCGGTCCGCGGACCGGTGGTTGGGGACCCCTGCTCTAGAGCTATTCTCTACTAGGATGTGGCTGTCAGAAGACCAAGTACATCCATGCAAGACAGTTCAGAAAGCTTCCCACACAATATTTTTTTTAAAAGGTGTTTGTATCTGAATGTGAACAAAATAGAATCTGTGGCTTCCCTTATATTTGCATTTTCTTGAGTCAATATAATATATTTTTTATGTTGTACCCAGACTAGATTTTCCCACTAAATCAACCTTTATTGTGGTCGAAGATCAGCATTCAAAGTGTGAGATACAAAGAATTTAAAAACATAAAAAATATTTAAAAAGGCATTAAAAAACTAAAGATTATAAAAATAAAAAAACAAATTCTAAAAGGAGGGGTAAAAACAAATGGACATAAAAAACATGGCAAACAAAATCCATATAATACAAATAAATCTAATACAAATACTCTATAATAATAGTCTAGGCTAGGGTATATTGTAGCAGGGATGGTATGTAAGAGCAGCAGGGAGATGTAAAATCATCCTGTGTGCCTTGGTTATTTATGCAATAATGGTGCAAAGAGACTTAATAGGAATCTCTCTCTATATATATAGCCACTGGAGAAATCTTTTCAAGATATTCTGAAGAAATTAAGCTGCTGGTCAATCCCTACTTACTCATCCAATTTAGAATAGGAAGAGATAATTGAAGCCATCAAAGTTGATCTCCTTTGGTGCACAAATGCAAATTAAAGCATTTCTAAGCAGCAGCAACCCAGCTTCTTATCTGGACGCATCCAAGAAAGGTGCCCCATGCTCCTGTAGGCCTTTAGTCCCATTGGCTGAACATTCTTACTCAGGTTCTGCAAGGTGGCTTAAATTTAGCTCAAGGAAGAGCTTCACACCTTGGAGGAAACCCGATTCTCTTTGTTGAAGCAAAGAAACAACCTGCTGTGTCCCAGGGCAGCATCTCACCTGCCTACATCCCTCACCTTTGTCACTTGTGAAAGCTGGGAGAGTCTTTTGATCAGACTTAATTGCTGGAGGAGATTCTGGCAAGTGCTGCTGGAGAAGACTGCAAGGAGACCCCAGCCTTCTCCAGCAGAAGGAAAGTTCTGTGAAGGTTCTGCAGATGGGCAGAATGTCCTTCCAGCTGTTGCAAGAGCCAGAGGCTGATAAGCAGCTGCAAAGTAAACCAACATGGTTATTTCTCTCCACTTTTAGAAGGGGTCACTTCTTCACGAAGCCATTTCAAGGGAAATTTCACTCAATTTTTCATCAAAGCAAATCTCTTTGAAGATTTGCACAACCCTGGCTCTTAACATTAGGACATTTCCCCCCCTAGTATTCAACCAGAAAACTCCTTCCTGTCATTTTATAATCATTCTGTGTCTGCACACTGGGATGACAGAGACTAAGCCTTGTTCTTTGGACATTTTCGCTTTGGGTATTTATAGATTGTTCTCTTATCCCTTGTGATCATCTTTTCCTAAGGCTAAAGCTTCCAGCTCCTTCAATTCTCTCCTTTGGAAGAGCTCAAAGCTGAGGATCCATGAAATAGTAAAAGAAGCAAATGTTATAGGCTGCTTTGCATGTAATAGAAAAGAGAACAGAATAATAGAATAATGAAATGACTCAAACATAATGAAATGCTAAAGATAATTATAAACATAATTATGCTTGAAGTTCATGGATTTTGATGCTTCCCTCCCTCAAAGGAGCTGTTTCTTCCAACTGCATTTTTCTTTTCCCATGTAAACAAGGGAGAAGTTGTGTTTTTCTCCACTGTTGTTCCATGGCTAGTAATTTGAAACGCAAATAGGAGCTACAGGTCTGCATGCATATACAGGTGAAACTCGAAAAATTAGAATATCGTGCATAAGTTCATTTATTTCAGTAATGCAACTTAAAAGGTGAACCTAATATATGAGATAGGCTCATTACATGCAAAGCAAGATAGTTCAAGCCATGATGTGTCATAATTGAGATGATTATGGCTTACAGCTCATGAAAACCCCAAATCCACAATCTCAGAAAATTAGAATATTGTGAAATGGTTCAATATTCTAGGCTCAAAGTGTCCCACTCTAATCAGCTAATTAAGCCATAACACCTGCAAAGGGTTCCTGGGTCTTTAAATGATCTCTCAGTCTGGTTCAGTAGGAATCACAATCATGGGAAAGACTGCTGACCTGACAGTTGTGCAGAAAACCATCATTGACACCCTCCATAAGGAGGGAAAGCCTCAAAATGTAATTGCAAAAGAAGTTGGATGTTCCCAAAGTGCTGTATCAAAGCACATTAATAGAAAGTTATGTGGAAGGGAAAAGTATGGAAGAAAAAGGTGCACAAGCAGCAGGGATGACCGCAGCCTGGAGAGGATTGTCAGGAAAAGGCCATTCAAAAGTGTTGGGGACTTTCACAAGGACTGGACTGAGGCTGGAGTCAGTGCATCAAGAGCCACCACACACAGACGGATCCTGGACATGGGCTTCAAATGTCGTATTCCTCTTGTCAAGCCGCTCCTGAACAACAAACAACGTCAGAAGTTTCTTACCTGGGCTAAAGAAAAACAGACCTGGTCTGTTGCTCAGTGGTCCAAAGTCCACTTTTCTGATGAGAGCAACTTTTGCATCTCATTTGGAAACCACTGACCCAGAGTCTGGAGGAAGAATGGAGAGGCACACACTGCAAGATCCTTGAAGTCCAGTGTGAAGTTTCCACAGTCTGTGTTGATTTGGGGAGCCATGTCATCTGCTGGTGTTGGTCCACTGTGCTTCATTAAGTCCAGGGTCAACACAGCCATCTACCAGGAGATTTTGGAGCACTTTATGCTTCCTTCTGCAGACGAGCTTCATGGGGATGCTGACTTCATTTTCCAGCAGGACTTGGCACCTGCCCACACTGACAAAAGCACCAAACCCTGGTTCAATGACCATGGGATTACTGTGCTTGATTGGCCAGCAAACTCGCCTGACCTGAACCCCATAGAGAATCTATGGGGCATTGCCAAGAGAAAGATGAGAGACATGAGACCGAACAATGCAGAAGAACTGAAGGCCACTATTGAAGCATCCTGGTCTCCCATAACACCTCAGCAGTGCCACAGGCTGATAGCTTCCATGCCATGTTGCATTGAGGCAGTAATTGCTGCAAAAGGGGCCCAAACCAAGTACTGAGTACATATGCATGCTTATACTTTTCAGAGGTCCGATATTGTTCTATGGACAATCCCTGTTTTATTGATTGCATGTAATATTCTAATTTTCTGAGATTGTAGATTTGGGGTTTTCATGAGCTGTAAGCCATAATCATCACAATTATGACAAATCACAGCTTGAACTATCTTGCTTTGCATGTAATGAGTCTATCTCATATATTAGTTTCACCTTTTAAGTTGCATTACTGAAATAAATGAACTTGCACGATATTCTAATTTTTCAAGTTTCACCTGTATATCTTCCTCAATATCTAAACCAGTAAATTGGGCTAAAGAATAAGGATAGCGTCCTAAAGATAGTTCACCATTGCCTTTGGCATATTTCAGGGAGAATCATTTTCCCAATTTCAGCCAAGTCTTCGGTTCTTTCTCCTGATGTCTTACTGAAATACAGATGGCATTCTAAGGAACAGGATAAATTTAGAAGATGTTCTTAAATAGGTTCAAATGGTATGCTAGTGCTTTTTTTGTTTTTTATATTTTTTTCCCTCCCAGTTTTTCCTGGGTTGAATAAATGGGTCAAGATTTTGGAAGCTTGTAAAAACCTTCTACCTGTTTAAGCAGTCTCAAAAAGTGGTATGATCTCTCAGCTTTTGGTTAGGGGAAAGTAGTTATTATACAGGCAATGAAACATTACTATTTAGTGCTCCGCTCTTGCCTTTCTGTCTTGGCAGACATGTTTGATAAAAGCAAATCTGGTCGGATCGATCTCTATGGGTTTTCAGCCCTGTGGCGTTTTATTCAACAGTGGAGGAATCTGTTCCAGCAGTTTGATCGGGACCATTCAGGAAACATTACTTGTAATGAGCTACACCAAGGTGAGAAAATTGAGGTTGGAGGTGGCAATGTTCTCCGTTGGTTTTGACTTTAGATTATCAAAATTAAATTAGATTGTCAGGTCCTTGGAATTCTCTGAGCTTGGTTGTTTTCTTGCAGACATTTCATTACCCAGTTAGGTAACATCATCCTTTGCACCATTCCATTCTAACACTGAAGATGTTACCTAGTTGGGTAATGAAACACCTGCAAGCAACCAGCCAAGCTCAGAAAGCACTGAAGATTCCACACAACATCTCCAGCAGCCAACACCCAGATAAGCAGGGATTAACACCAGACAAATAATACTCTGATCAAGGAACTGCCAAGGAGAAAAATTATACCCCACTGACATCAGGGTAAGCCACTGTATATAAGAGAGAGCAAACCCCACTTTGTTTTGGCACTGATGATATCTAGTTGGGTAATGAAATACCTGCAAGAAAACAACCAAGCTCAGAGAGCACCAAGGTCCCCACAGTTAAACTCTGAGCTTCTTCTATTAGAAATGAGATTCCCTGTGGGTTGGATTTCCAAGAGTGGTGCTGGCATTCCAAAGTCAGGTTCCATGTTTTCCAGGATTCCTCAGCTTGAAATCTTATCCAAGGCTGGATCTACCGCTGGCTCAGCCCAGTGTTCTTAGCTGTTATCGGCCTGGATCAATCCCACTATAATTTCCACTATAAAAGATCCTAGGGTTCAATTTCTGGCATTTAAAAATCTGTTGACAAGCAGCAGATTATCTGGCAATCAAAATAATACTGAGCTGTTGAGCCAAGTAGTTTAATGAAAAGACAGCTGCTTCTACCTGTCTGATTCAGTTCATCAGAAAGCCATGCTCCTAAGGTGGATGTAGACTTTCTGGCAGTAAGGGCTGAGCTTGGAGACACAGAAAGAACTGGCAGCTGTACGTCCACTGAAAGGAGAAGATGGCAAAGGAAGCAAAAATTGTGGGGGGAAACCTTAGGTTCCATTAATTGTCAGGTAGTTCTTCCATGTTGGAATGTTTGGCTGATATAAAAATATCAGTCATGCCACTCTGTCACCAACTATTTGAGTCATCAGCATGGAGGATTTTCACTAGGGATTAAGTGTGAGTTATGTTAAAGTTAGTTCTCACTTTGTCAGAGGAATACTATCTGATATCCAATCAATCCATTGCCAATTTGTTTATTCATTTAACAAATTTATATAGCCTCCCATCTACTCAAGACCACCCAGAAACAAAACATAATAAACTATTAAAAATCCAGTTCAAAAGAGCCAGGCTCAGTGACTCTAAAAATCACATTATCAGCATACCAAACAGAACTTGCCAGAGCTTGATTAAAATCCCAGCTCAGGGTCCAGGAGACCCTGGATGGGATTGGGATTGTCAGTGTCTTATAGCAGAGGTGCCTTAATAGAGTTGTTTTCCTTACCAGAGACATTGATTCATTGACAGGGCCTGGAGCACGCCCATTTTTGCCAGCTCTAGTATGATGGACAGAAACCACTGGGCCTGGGCAGTCTGACAGGGGAGGCTTTCGCTCTCCCCCAAAAGAGAGATTGATCTGGACGACTGCATAGTTCAGGCAGGAGAAAGAGCTGCCAAAATATGAACGTTGGTTTCCCTGTAAATAGGGCTCACTTTTGATTCATAGCCTTAAAGTTTCTTAGCTTTTCTGCAATGAATTACTGGTTAGGAAAAAAGAAATCTTAATACTTGGGAGATGGTTTAATTGGTTTCAACCCAGCCCTGCTGGGGGAGAGATTTGACAGATTCCTCTATCTCATTTCTATTGCTTACCTTCCAGCTCTTTGCCAAATGGGGTACAACTTGAGCCCCCAGTTTTCCCAGCTGCTGGTGTCCCGTTATTCACAGAAGGGCTGCACTCCTGGCATTCAGTTGGACCGCTTCATCCAGACCTGCACTCTCCTTCAAACCATGACCGAAGCCTTCCGGGAGAAGGATACTGGCATGACGGGCACTGCACGGATCAGCTACGAAGATTTCCTCATGATGTCTGCTTCTCGCATGCTGTGAAACCTTTCCATCTAAGAAAGAGAGGGTGGGGGTAACACTGAGGACCCTGCATTGGATGGTTGGCTTTCCAGCAAGACAGAGAAGGGAAGGCCACCGTGTGCACAAGGTGTTGGGGATGAAGGAAACTGAAACAGCCATCATTTATTTTTATGAAGCTGAATGCCTCACAAATGGACTCTTTGACATTGTTCTGCAGATAGATTTGATTGTTGTGGATTGTTGTTGCATCATGTAACTCCTAAGGGAAGAAATTGTTCACTCTGTCAGATTTTCCCAATGGAAATTCTTCCAGATACACTGGAATTTAATTCCCAGAATCCTTCAGCCAGGTTGGTTGAAGATTCTGTTTGAATTGAAGTCCAAAATAATCTGGAGGCACCAGGTCAGAACAGCACCTGATACCCTCTTCCCTAGATTTTCTTCTTTGGCCCCGGGCATAAAATTATATCAACCTTCAATTTAGGATTATCTTCTGGCTGTGGAGCAAGTAGCCCAGCATATTGAATAATAGCTCTTCTGAATTTTCCACCTGCATGTCACTATGAATTTACATGGGTCTACCTTGAGCAGACCTGGATTCCACAGTAGAAAGTGCCTGTAAGGACAGACTGAGGATTCTGTCCCTGATGCCCCTTTGAAATCCAGCTCCCAGTTCGCTATTAGGAGGTAGCCAGCATTCCATCCACCCATCCTGCCAAAATTTCTTTTTTGAGTGGACGTTCCTGGTTATCTTCATCTCCAGGTTATCACTCTTTGCGTCAAAACTACAGGTCCTCTTGCCAATCATTAACTTAGGTGCTTGTCTTTTTTCGTGCCAATGTTTTGCTTGTAACTTTCATAGTGGCCCAAATCATGGTTAACGATGTGCTAGCCAGAGATGTATGATTTATACTTGAATGCAATGTACAATAAACAATCCCAAGCACTGTGATTCTTCTTCTCCTCCTTCTCCTTCTCCTTCAGTGTAATAAATCTCTAGAGTTACATGGGGACAGAATGGCACAGCCTAATTTAAAACTCTATAAAGTTTCTTTGGGGAAAAAATGCTGAGATACAGATGTGAAAACTAAAACATGGTTAGAAGCTAGAGAACTGATGGAACAAGCATCCCTTTGGTGGGAGGTCTCTAAAGACTTACTAGGTCAATAAATGTGAATAGAAACCCCATATGGGGAATCACATCTATGTCTCTTTTTAGAAACATACCATCAACTTTGATTTCTGGGTCTTGCAATTGTAAGAGGAATTTGGAACTATTCTGAGAGACAGAAGCAGATGACAGACTGTTTTGAGTCAAGGGGCAACATATTAGTGTCCTTTCCATGTCTTGGTTTGCATAGCCAGTTCTCCTTATGTTTATGTGCTTATGACATTTTTACACTACCAACTTTAAACAGATTGATCACTTCTCATTTCACAAAGCTACACAAAATCCTTAAAATTTTATATAACTAGCCTACTCTAGCCTGCATCTAATGAACATCTTTCTTACTTCCTGTAGCTATGAAGGACAGCTCTGCTGTTACCTGCCCTCTAAAAGGCTGTCAGAGGGTACTGTTGAACATCCAAGACCTAAATTGTTTTCTAACATTGGAGCATGCTTGAAGAAACATCATGCTGTCACCCCCTCTTCCCTGTTCAAATATTTACTCCAAGATTACAAACTGGGTGAGTTGCGTCTACTTAAAGAAGATAGTCAGATGCCAAGTCATAAAGACCTTTATTGATTTAAAGTAATACTTTTTTAAACTACTGGGGAATCTGCTAGAAGAAAGTGTAGAACCCTCAATACCAATGTTATATAGCCCTGGCAGTTCTAAGACACCAGCAGGCTGGCTACTGCATCAATGGTTTGACTTCGAGAAGAACACAAATCATTGAAATGCTTCTCACTAATTTTTAAAAGATTTCCAATGTAGAACAGGTTCCACAGTATACCAAAGTTGGTTTTTACTAGTGGTATTGAATAAGGTTGAGTTGACAGAAAAATATCCATGGTTTATGGTCAAATGAATTCAACATGCCATGGGGAAACCCAATTAATTATAGTTTACTATAGAGTAGGAACTTATGTAAGGATCTCTAAGTATTTTGGGGCATAATTTGAAGGGGAAATTTCTTATTGATTCAGGAGAACATATATTTTACCTGTCTCTAATTCTTGGATCTCTCAAGTTTCACATTCCTTGAGCAGGGCCCTTATCCTTTGCATCCTCTGCTCCTGAACAGGGAGGTTCCATCAAGGAGTCAGAACTGACTTATCAGGAGGATCATTTAATGGAAATTCCAACTATAGCCAGTCTTCTATCTGCAGGTTCACTGGATTCATCTAAATCCTTTTGGATGAAGGTAAAGTTTTTGTTAGGTAAATTAATCTTGAAAGACCTTTACCCTTATGCTTATATGCAAAGCTCACCATGAGAAAGATGGAGCTAGATGAATCAAAAGTTGGAATTAAGATTGCCGGGAGAAATATCAACAACCTCAGATATGCAGATGATACCACTCTAATGGCAGAAAGTGAAGAGGAACTAAAGAGCCTCTTGATGTGGGTGAAGAAGGAGAGTGCAAAAGTTGGCTTGAAACTCAACATTAAGAAAACTAAGATCATGGCATTCGGCCCTCTCAATTCCTGGCAAATAGATGGGGAAGAAATTGAGGTAGTGACAGATTTTATTTTCCTGGGCTCCAAGATCACCGCAGATGGGGACTGCAGCCAAGAAATTAAAAGATGCTTGCTCCTGGGGAGGAAAGCTATGACAAATCTAGACAGCATACTAAAAAGCAGAGACATCACCCTGCCAACAAAAGTGCGTATAGTCAAGGCTATGGTTTTCCCAGTTGCAATGTGTGGCTGTGAAAGTTGGACCATAAGTTGAGCGCCAAAGAATGGAGGCCTTTGAACTATGGTGCCAGAGAAGACTGCTGTGAGTCCCTTGGACTGCAAGGCGATCAAACCGGTCAGTCCTAGAGGAGATCAACCCTGACTGCTCTTCAGAAGGCCAGATCCTGAAGATGAAACTCAAAGACTTTGGCCACCTAACGAGAAGGAAGGACTCACTGGAGAAGAGCCTAATGCTGGAAATGATTGAGAGCAAAAGAAGAAGGGGACGACAGAGAATGAGGTGGCTGGATGGAGTCACTGAATCAGTAGGCATGAGCTTAAATGGACTCCGGAGGATGGTAGTGGACAGGAAGGCCTGAGGGAACGTTGTCCATGGGGTCGCAATGGGTCAGACACGACTTCGCAACTAACAGCAACACTTTTTTCCAAGGCTGCGCATCCTGAATTCCCCATGCAAGAACACACCATGGACTTTCTCCTTCCATTATTGGTGGAAAAACTATGATGCTTTGCGCTAACTATTTTTTTTTTTTTTTAAACTGTTTTAGATGGATCTGCTGCCTTCTGGATGGAGACATTCACTTCGAAGACAAAGCTGTTTCAGGTTCTTATTGTTTGAGGGCAAGGAAGACTAGGGAAGAAAAAGAGTCCACCATGTAAATGATGGGATAATTTTTTTTAGTTTTGGAAGAAAATTGAGCCACTAATTACGCTGTCTGCTCTTCAGAAGCAGTTTTCTCATTAGACATGGGGTGTAATTCCAGCTTTTCAGTCAAGTGGTTGGCTTTCCTTGTAGTAAAAAAAACATTCCTTTGCTAAATTCCTTTGCTAAATTTGCTACAATTCCCATCTCTATTTTTTTGGTAGTCTTGGTCGTCTTGCAAATTCATTTCTAACTCGTCTCTACTACTCGATTCTTCATGGCCTATCAATCGTTCGTAGAATTCTTGGGCCTTTTCCACGGAGTCTACTTTAATTTTTCTTTCTTCCCAAGTGATTAGCATTCCCTCTGGGATTAGCCATCTAAATATGATACCTTTTTGGTTTAATTGGTTCACCAAGAATTTATAATCTCACCTCTGCTCTCTCACTCTTCTTGGGATTTGTTTAAGCACCAAGATTTTTTTCCCTTTGTATGTAATTGTTTCTTCTCTAGAAATTTTTTATATAATATCTCGAACTTTCCTTCTGGCAAATCTCACATGGACCTCTTTTGGATGTTTATGTCGTCTTGCATAATTTGTGCTCACTCTGTATACTTCATCTAACTCTTTCAGAATATCGTCCTTTTCTTTTTCCAATAGGCCTGCTAATATTCCTGCCGTCACTAGTTCTAAGTCCTCTTCTTTAGATTCCATTATATTTTGGAATCTTAGATGTCCTGCGGCCTTATCCATTTCCAAAATTTACCAAGGAGTCGTCCATTTCTTTACTCACATTTCTTAATTGCTGACCAACCATTTCCAGCTTCTTTTCCATTTTTTCCGTTCTTTTCTCAACCTCCTTTATTGTTGATTCATTTCTTTCTAGTGCTTGCTGTATTGTTTCATTTTTTTGATCCAGCTTTAGGATGTCTAGTTTCATTTCTGCCTTTAAGTTTCCCATCTCTTCTTTTAGTTCATTTGTGTCAGCTCTTGGTTCGATATGATTTTTTACCACTATTTCCTGAAGCTTCAGCATGGACTCTTGTAAAGTAAGAAGGGTCGATTGAATATTGGCATTTGTGATGATAGGTTGTTTTTCTCCAGATAAAGTTTCTTCAATTGTCTTTTGTGCCATCACTGAGGTTGATGGCATTGAAGTTGTTTGTATTGAAGAAGTCTTCTTTCCAGTTTTAAGCGTTGTATTAGTGACGGGGGTCATTTCTTGTAAAATTTGTTTTTGTTTTATATTAAATATGTTGTCCCAAATTAACATTCACTATTAAGAAATATCAACTATAAATGGCCACTACGCTAAATAATATGATATGTTACAGGATTAACCTCTCTTATCAATATATATATATATTCCAGAACACTTTTACAGCTAATTTCTAAATCAAATATCTGGATTTGTAATTCTTAATAATATATCAAATTCCTCTATTTAAATTTAAATAATATTAACCTGTATATCTATAAATGCTATATTTCAAATACTTACAAATCTAAATATAGATATATCAACCTTACTATACAATAATTAATTAGTTAATCTATAATAATCACAATTAATCACAATTAATTATTTAATTCAATCTAATCAATGCCTATAATCAAATATCTATACCTAAATAATTAATTAATTATCACCTCCCTTTTTTATGTGTGTTATAACCAAATATAAACTACAATATTACTAATGTATCAATTAAATATATATAAATTACATTTACCACATTCAAAAATCAGTTAAGTTGGTGTCAAGAAATAATTGTTGCAATCCGCAAATTTAAAAGCTTAAAGTGTCTTCATATAATTGTTCAGTTCTTCAAGATTCCTTCACCAAGCGCACTGGAAGTACAGAGTTGCTGAGTAATGTCTCTGATTTCACTATCTCACCACACTTTCCACTGTAGTCATTTCTCCTTTCGTTTGAAAGTTTAACAAGTCAATTTTCAGATTCAAATAGTCTCTTTCTTTAATAAATCTTCTCCACTTACTACAGCTCCAGTCCAATAATCCAAAAGGAGACTAGTAAATTATTCAGTTTCGTTCGTGGAATATTTAAAGTTGTAATTTAATTCCTTACTTCAAGTCTCCTTCCATCTCAAGTTCGTCCTTCCGATTTCCCCCAAAGTCCACAATTCAAATCCTTCAAAGTTCCCTTAAATTAAATTATTGTTCTTTCTTTCTTCTTCTTTTTCTCTCCCCCAATTATTATCAGTCTCTCAGATCCCTCTGATTCTCTTATCTTCTCTGTCCGATTGCCCGCGTCCTTACCCTCTTCCGTCTCATGAGCCCCTTCACTTTCGCCGCTGCTCGTATCTGCTTTGGCCGCTGTTTTCGGGCTTCATTCTGACTAAGATACTCCAATATTCAACGCTCAATCAGGATCGCAAATTCTTTCACTTGCACTCTTCGTTCACCACAGTCTGTCACTCA